ACTAAATCTAAAGTAAGATCACATAATCAATTCAGTTAGTTTACAAAAATTGGACCACAAGTAAGATCCAGAGCCATTTCCCTTGTTTTTCTTAAGATTAAGATACTGGTGAAGTATGAGAAAGGCAAAAACGACACACCTTCATTAAGATACTGGTCAAGTGTGTCGTTTGGATCTGCGCATAAACCGTCTATCCAAAAAAATCTATTTTTTCTGTAGATTTTTTTTATAAAGGTAATATATTGATATCAAGATTTCTGTCTGCAGATAATCCCAAAAGATGTTGTGCCGTATTTCAAAGGCGAGATCCCAGGAGAGATCAAGCTAGAAACTCGAAATGGTTACTGTCACACTATTGTGGTTGCCAAGAACCAAGAAAAGCATGTCCTTACAGTGGGTTGGCGGCAATTTGTTGAAAGCTATGATCTACAGGAGGATGATTCCTTAATATTCAGATACAAAGGGAACTCTCAGTTTAGTGTCATGATCTTTGATAAGCTTGGTCCTGAAAAAGCATTATCGGTTGTTCTGGATCCTTTTTGGCCTCAGGTCCAAGACAGGTGCAACGAGGCACATGAAAACGGGTGAAATACTATACTTTATTATTCATGTCTTTATTTCTTGGCACCAAATTTCACTTCAAATGGCTTTCACACTGCAGGTATTCTCAAAAGATGGAAGTGCCTCGGAAAAGAAGAAAAAGCCGGATTGAATATCACTACGCAAACTTGGATGATGAGAAGAAATATTTCTTGGTGCTTATGATGGACAATTTTCAACATGAGATGGTAAATTCATATTCAAATACAGCACCACTTCCTTTTATCAGTTATTTTGTTGTTTTCCTGAAGACCAATAAATTTCTACTTTCTTGTTTAAATTCTATAGCAATATATATTCTTTTAGAGACACAAACTATATGTAGTTTTTGCAAAAACATTGAATCCAGCATGGTAGCACATTCATATATGTTTGTTTGCAATTCCTCACAGTTTAAAGTAAGGATAATAGGCTTTTGGCATTCACATTGTTCCTATGATACTACTCTTCTTTATTTCCCTTGGCATCTCAGACAAATTTGCTTTGATTAGAGAGTATCTTTTTTATCCTGTTTACAAACCATTTTTCAAACAAAATTATTGATTGTTCCTCTCCAGATCATCCCAAAAGAATTTGTTCAGTGTTTCAAGGGCGAATTCCCAGGAGAGATGATACTTGAAACACAAAATCGTTGCAGTTATGAAATTGGAGTTGCCAAGAACAATGAAAACCTTGTCCTTATAGTGGGATGGGATAATTTCGTTGAAACCTTTGGTCTAGAGATGAGTGACGCCATGGTATTCAGATGCAATGGGAACTCTCAGTTTAATGTCATAATCTTCGATGAATCTGGTTGTGAGAAGGCATCATCTCCGCCTCCCGTGCAAGAAAGGCGCACAAGTGCTACTGATACTATGAAAATTTCTGATTTCTATCCTAGTCACCACCAACGAAAAGGGATGCCATACAAACGCAGCCATTTAGCACAGTGAAAGGGATGCCAATGGAGTCACCACGCCTCCAAATGGAAAGGGACAAGTCATGTCAAGATAACAGCACTGTGATAAGTATTTCCTCCGGCGGGTCATCAGGTCTCAGTTTACGATTATAGCTATGCCTTCCCTTGCAAATCATTATCATATTTGTGTAGCTAATATTTAATTGTTCTGTTTTCTTTGCACAGAAGATGATGTCTCCTCTGAAGAAGTACGTGAAGTGACTGGTTCCGAATGCATTGTCTGGAAGAAGGTACGATCTTCATTTCAGAAGGAGCAGTTGAAGGATCGTTATATTACCGCCCACAAGAGTAGACTAACTTCAGCTCAGAAGGAAGTGGTGAAGCAGAAGGTCCAATCCATACAACCAGAGATCCCATTCTTTGTTGCTGTGATGCGCAAGTGCAACGTTGTTTTAGAATTCTTTCTGGTGAGTTTCATTTTCTTTCGATCATGTAGGTGTCTGTTTAAACTGTAAAGTACTGCTTGTGGAATACTAATGAAAACGCTATCTAATAATGTAAATTCATAATCAGTCACCATCTCTGAATTTGAATACAGATTGGAGATTGCTTCCTAATATCGTACAAATTTAGGAAGCAATTGAGCATGCTATTTTACAGAGTTTTATTGCCATTATCTGCTAACTCTTTTGTCCACTGTAATCAGGTTTTCCCAAAACGATATGCTAAGGCATATCTTAAATAGAAGCGACACTTGTCTCTTCAGGTGATGGGCAAGGAGTGGCCGGTGTGGTTTCGTGAAAACAGTTGCGATAAAAGGCTTGGAAATGGATGGAAACGGTTTGTAGAAGACAACAAGCTGAAGATGGGTGATATGTGCCTCTTTGAACTGCTGAGAGATGAGAGGACCATGGAGGTACATATCATCCCCACTGCAAACGATGACAATTATCGGGCAGGTCTCCAGAATGGTGCTGACCGGGAAGCGGCGTTCCGGGGAGGGGCTCCTACTCATCATACGAATGGAGCGTGTGATCCTGACACAAGGTTGCTTCGCATCACTAAAACTGAAGCTATGGAAGATGATGCTGTTGCCCCTGATGGTGCCTGATCGCCCAAGGAAAAGTCTAGCGTGGTGTCTAAACCAAGCATGCATACTGCTGTTTTTGCGCTCTGGGGTTAAACGAGCGATCCTATATATCGATCATAAGGCCTCGGTTACACTGTATGGTAGAAACTTGAAACTGTTGTGGTGCTCGATCTACCTCTGTATTTTTTTGTTCGTTATCTTGGCAGGCCTGGAACTCCTCCGGCTGTAGTTATAGCTGCCTTTTAGTTTCCTGTTGCACCTCTGGATGCTGCTTCTGTGGTCGCGGTTTATTTTCGATAAGTTATCGTGGTGATAGTGGAACCCAGTCCTTCGTTGGCCGTTTGGAAAACAATGGATGCCAAATTCAAATTGATGGATATGCCATGCCGCTGATGCTGCGGGATTCCCTGGCATCAGTGGGCTGCTAATGCTTTCTTGTTGGTGGCACTGTTCTTGTTGTTGATTACAGGCAGGCAGCGCTAGAGCGCCACCGTCCAGCAACAGGAGACAGACAGCATGCAGCTGCCAGATGGCCACGCCAGGACGCATGGCAGCATGCAAGCACCACGTACACCACCATGCATTTACACGTGCCCAATGCCAGACCACCACGCACACAGTTACCGGCAAACCAGCATCCAGCATTGACAGCCCCCCAGCAACAAAATACAGTTACCGGTAAACCAGCATCCAATATTGACAGTCCCACAGCAAAAAATAAAATGGAAGGAACAAGAAATGAATCGAGGCATGCAGGCTAAAGAAAATGTAGAATAGCAATTTCTTTGTTCCAAACAATACCAGAACAATACCAAAGATTTTTTTATAGAAATATTATCCTTCAAAATCTTTATGCCTTTCATTCTTTCTTTTGAACTGGGGGCTAAAGCATGTCTAAACCCTAAACCCTTAAAATTTCTCATGTCTTTACATTCGCAGGTTCCAGCTTAAGTATCTACCGTATCCTAAATGACCGTGCTGAGAGACAACGCGTTAACTCAAATAAAAAGCAGCTCACGGGGCCTCGGTTGTCATGAAGACAGTGAAACAACAAATGCTAAGGTCGTTTATTTTCACTGTAAGAAACAAAGTGCTGGACGAGCTCTCTCCGCTCAGCGCGTGGTCACATCCTACTAGCACTAGCAGAGTAGCAGGGCCAGGCGGAAGGAGGCCAGAAGGAGGACAAAGGTGACAGGATAAGCAAGGTAAGAATCACGAGATAGTAAAATCTAAGCATCTTAATCGTAGTCCAATCCCAGAATAAATCTCCTAACGGCTTCTTTCGATTTAGTTCTCCATTGGTAGTGGGGGCGTTTCTTTCTTCTCTTTTTTTTCTTTTCTTTTTCTTTTGCGGGTGAGGGGGCGATTCTTTCTGAAAACCCTGTTTACCTCCGTTCCTCTGCTAGTGCTAAATAACCCAGGCGATTTTCACCATCTTTTCCTTGGGTCTTGGCGTGATTCTGGATCCAACATCGCATTCGCATAACCCTTACTCCATCAGTAATGTAACACAAGTACATTTATGCGTGTGTGGGGGACGAGGGACATGCGTCTTTCCGGTGGCCAGCGGCGACGGCCGGCCACGCCTTGTCTGCACTGCACAAACGCGCTCTCGATGGGGCCGAGGGAGCTCTCCCACACGCAGGCGAATCGGCCGCCGGCGGCGCAACGAGCATCGGGGCGACGTTAGGAAGCGGCGTGAGGTTGGCGCTCGGCCAGAGGAGAGAAATCTGGTGGTCTCTCATGGAGATTTTTGTTCTTGTCCAATCCATCCCAAATCCTGTTCTGATCGATTTGTTATGGTTTGAATCAAAGTTCCTTTCTTCTAACTAAAGAAAATACCTTTCCCCTGCCAAAAAGAAAATAAAACCCTAGCCGCCCCACAAATCCATGGCAGATCTAGTTATCCACAATACTTCCGAGTCGGCTTGAGGCGGCGTTGGTGGTCTCGTAAATAAGATTCTTCGGCGGCGATGAGTCTCCGGCCTTCGCATTCTTCTCTGGGCAAACAGCTCGTGCCTCGGATTGCCGTTTGCTGGTGTCCCCTTGCAATGCCCGGTGACTGATCCGGCCGCAGTTACAATGAATCCCTGACTCCGGTGATGCGGAGCAGGTGCGGTATCAAGTTAGGCTCACAGAGCGCCATCGGGGGAGGGCGACCCCTTCGGCCTGTTTGTAGGCTTTCTTCGTCAAGAGGTGCTTGGACTTGGTTAATTTACAGCTTCTAGCCTTCACAAAAAATAAATAAAATGAAGAAAGAATTGAAGTTCCAAATGCACATTGTGGAGTGCATGGCATTAGGTCAAGTACAACAGAAAAAAAGTACATGTCTGCTTATTGTTCATGACTTCATGTCCTCATACCATATATCATTGCTAATAAATTTTGCATTGCAGGGGGGCTGCTAAAAAGATGTGCACGTCTTTAGAAAGATTGAACCTATGGGATGAGTATCGGTACAAACTTTTGGATGATGAGGAGAAACATTTCTTGGTGCTTATGTTGGGTGACTTCCGAGATGCGATGGTAACCCTATTATCTATCTGTGCTATTTTTGTAAGACCATTGATGTTTCAACTATCTTCTACTTTCAATTCTGCGTCGCAGTCAGATTCCACATAGTTTTTATTTCAGCAATCACAGGTAAGATCTACACTCATTTTCCTCGTTTTTTTTGTAAGATACTAGCCAGGCATCATAAAGACAAAGATACACCTTGATTGTAACTACTGTCTTTTGGATCTTGTTTATAAACTGTCCATCCATCCAATCTTTTTTATTTTATCTTTCTGCAGATATTCCCAGAAGAACTTGTGTGGCGTTTCAAATGTGAGATCCCAGGAGAGATCAAGCTAGTAAGCCGAAAGGGTTATAGTCACGCTATTGTGGTTGCCAAGAACCAAGAAAAGCTTGTCTTTACAGTGGGTTGGAGGCAGTTTGTTGGACAGTATGATCTACAGATGGGTGATTCCTTAATACTAAAATACAATGGGAACTGCCAGTTTGATGTCATAATCTTTGATAAGCTTGGCCGTGAAAAAGCATTATCGGTTGTTGTGGATCCTTTTTTGCCTCAGGTCCAAGAAAATCCCAACAAGGCACATGAAATCGGGTGAAATACCAGTCTTCACTATTCATGCCTTCATTTCCTGGTACTAAATTTCACTTCGAATGGATTTTGCACTGCAGATCTTCTAAAAAGATAGATGTGCCTTCTGAAAGATACAAAAGCTGGACTGAATATCACTACACAAACTTGGATGATGAAAAGAAATATTTCTTAATGGTTATGATGGGTGATTTTCAACATGAGATGGTAAATTTATATCCAAAATTCCAAATGCAGTAACACTCCTTTTTATCAGTTACTTCGGTGTTTTTCTGTAGACCAACGATTTTCTACTTTCTACTTTAGATTATGTGGAGATATATAATGCTTTAGAGACATATACACAACTATATGTAGTCTTTGCAACTTTTGCTCATGTCTCATATTAATTTGATGCCTGGATTGAATCGAGCATTGTAGCACATTCAGGTATATTTATTTGCACAAAATTTCCTCATAGTTCAAATTATACCATGCTGTCAGGTATATTGAACAGACAAATTCGCTTTGATTATAGAGACTATATCTTTTTATCCTGGTTACGGTTCATTCAAACAAAACTATTGGTTGTTTTCTCCAGATCATCCCAGAAGAATTTGTTCGGCGTTTCAAGGGCGAGTTCCGAAGAGAGATGATACTTGAAGCAAAAAACCGTTGCAGTTACATTATTGCAGTTGCCAAGAACCAAGAAAAGCTTGTCCTTACAGTGGGATGGGGCATATTCGTTAAAACCTTTGGTCTAGAGATGGGTGACACCATAGTACTCAGATACAATGGAAACTCCCAGTTTAGTGTCATAATCTTTGATAAACTTGGCTGTGAGAAGGCACTTTCAGTTGTGGATCTTTTTCCGCCTCTTGTGCAAGAAAGGCACACGACTGTGAAAAGTTCCCATTTACATCCTCAGCCCATACAAATGGTACTGCCAGAGTCACCACCAACGAAAAGGCAGCGGCACTTCCAAATGGAAGTGGACGAGTCATGTCAAGGCAAAATCACTGCAATAAATATTTCCTCCGCCGAGCCATCTGGTCTCAGTTTACGATTATAGATATATCTTCCCTTGCAAACCATTCTCATATCTCTATTGCTATATTTAGTAGTTCTCTTTTCTTGGCGCAGGAGAGTCTTTCTCCTCTGAAGATAACCATGGAACACGTGATGTGCCTGGTTCCAATTACATTCTCAGGAAGAAGAAGGCCAATCTATCTTCATTTCTTTTTGAAGGAGATTCTTTCTCCTCTGAAGATGGCCATGGAGGACGGGATGCCATTGTCAAGAAGGCGGCAAAATTAACTTCAGCTCAGAAGGAGCAGTTGAATGACGGTTACATCACCGTGCGCAAGACCAAACTAACTTCAGCTCAGAAGGAAGTGGTGAAGCAGAAGGTCCAATCTATACACTCAGAGATCCCCATCTTTGTTGCTGTGATGAGCAAGACCAACGTTGATTCAGGATTTTTTCTGGTGCGTTATTTTTTTTAATGTGTGTTCTGCACCGATCATGTAGGTGCCTGTGTAAAGTGTAAACTGCTGCTTATGGAATACTAATGAAAGCACTTCTCGATAATGTTGATTTGTAACCAGTCATCTCTGAATTTACATGCAGTTTGCTTCTTACTATCGCACGAATTTAGGAAGCAGTCAACATGTTATCTTACATAGAGTTCTCTTGATGCCATTATCTACTAAATCTTCTGTTCAAATTTGTGAACAGACTTTCTCCAGGTACTATGCTAATAAATATCTTGGAGAGGAGCCGCACATGGATCTTCAGCTGCTTGGCAAGAAGTGGGGGGTGCGGTTCCTTGACCACCGTTGCGATAGAAAGCTTGGAAGTGGATGGAGACAGTTTGTAGAAGAAAACAATCTGAAGATGGGTGATATCTGCCTCTTCGAGCTGCTGAGCAATCAGAAGAGAACTATGGAGGTCTATATCATCCCTGCGAATGGTTACAATTACTCGGCAGGTGTCCAGAATGATGTGGACCAGGAAGCGCTCGAAGGTGGTTCAGCGGCGCTGCAGAGAGAGGCCCTTGCTCATCACGCGGATGGAGCGCGTGATCCTGACTCGATATTGCTTCGCATCACTAATTAACACTGAGGCTATGAAGATGATGTTACCCCAGATGGTGCCTGATCGCCGAAGGAAAAGCCTCTGGTGTCTGAACCAAGCATAACTGCGGTTTTTGCGCTCTGGGGAAGTCAAGCGATCCGATCGATCATAAGGGCTCTGTTACGTTGTAGAAAGTTGAAACTGTTCTGCTACCTGCGTATTTTCTTCGTTCTCGTAGCAGGTTAGTCTTGCACGCGGACTGGAACTCCCCTGGCTGTAGTTTTAGCTGCTTTTTAGTTTCCTTTGGCACCTCTGGGTGCTGCTTTTGTGGTTGCAGTTTTATTTCGTTATCGTGATGATGATAGTGGAGTCTGGTCCTATGCGGCCTTTGGAAAAAAAAGAACACCAATTGATCGATATGCCATGTTGCTGAATTCCCTGATCTGATGGGGGTAGACTGGTAACGCTTTCATGTTGGTGGTAGTGCTTTCGTTGTT